CGGGCGTCGCACCCTTGTCGCGGCAAACCCCTCACACGTTTCTTGGTCCCACGGAAAGCTTCACCGAAGTTCCTAGTGGCATCTTTTGCTTGTGGGCGTCGCATACTTCTCGTGGCTCCATAGGGAACTCCACCGAATGCCCCGGTGGTACCGTTTGCATGTGGGTGTCGCACCTCCTTCGGCACATCCCTCACATGCTTAGTGCTGGTGTTTCGTGTCCCACAGGGAGCTCCACCGAAGGCCCTGGTGTTTCGTGCCCCACAGGGAGCTCCACCGAAGGCCCCGGTGGCAGGGTTCGCGTGGTGCCCCCGCGCCTTTTCGGCAAACCGCTCTCACGCATCGTGGCCTCACGGGGGGCCCCACCGAAGGCCCCAGTGGCAGGTTGAATGGCGGCACGCCTCCGTTCCATCACACCCCTCATTTGTTCGTGGCCCTATGAGAGACTCCACTGAAGGCCCCGGCGGCAGGGTTCGCATGGCGTCGCAGCCTTCATTGCGGCACGCTCCTCGTATGCTGCGTGGCCCCATGTGGGACTCCACTGAAGACCCCGGCGGCAGGGTTCGCATGGCGCGCCCCCCCCCGCTTTGGCACACCCTTCATACGCTTCGTGGCGGCCACCAGGGCGGGCAGAAGGGGAGACACCGGTTGGAAGGAGATGTGCTCAACACGGCGGGTCCCAGGGTTCGGGCCACAGCGGGCCAGGCGGGAACGAACACAACGCAGAACGGGAACCGGGAGAGGAGAGAGAGAGTTGGGAAGGAAATGGACACGAAACGGCTGCTCTCGGGGCTCGCACCAAACAAGATAGACCCTCCTCGTGCCCATGTCCATGTCCATACGCCGCAGTCATTTTGCTGCCCCCTCCTTCATCGCACCTGCCTCGCCAGTATGCATTATCGTGGTAATATTTGCCTTTTCTTGGGGCCCAGGCGGGCCCCAACAATGGAGGTTTTGTATGATGTTGGTTGCCCGTTTTGAACATACGGTGGGTACCTTGAGGATTTAGATGTTTTATCGTGTTTCGTCATTTCCCAGCCCCAGGGACACCCAAAGGATATTTGGATCGTTTCATGTATGATTCGCTGTTTCGCTACCAGTGGTGTCGAGTATGTACCAGTGTGAACCACATCCGACTCCGCATCGCCTTCTCGGTCGATCGTATGTATTCCTTCAGTTTCTGAGGACGCATCCCTACCATCGTAATCGATTTTGTTTTGTGCTTATCGACCTTTTGGCAGGGATTTGCAAGTCCGAGGCTGGTTAAGTTGAACTTCGACGACCGATGGTTTCTGGTGCTTGTTGTCCCGTCTTGAGTTGGACTCCGGGTGGCTTCTCGTCGCCACAGCTGAATTCCCTTCGACATTGTGGTCAGAACGCGCCACAAGAGAGGCCGAAGGTGAATCCTTGAGCGGGGGAGGGGGAGGAGGACGAGGAGGAAAATGAGACAGAGGAGAGGAGGAGGAGGAGGAGGAGAAGGAGGAGGAAGAGGAGGAGGAGGAGGAGGAGGAGGATGAAGACGGAGGAGGAGGAGGAGGAGGAGGAGGAGGAGGAGGAGGAGGAGGAGGAGGAGAGGAGGAGGAGGACGGAGACGCAGGAGGAGGAGGAGGAGGAGGAGGAGGAGGAGGAGGAGGAGGAGGAGGAGGAAGGGGAGGAGTTGTAGGAGGAGGAGGAAGAGGAGGAGGAGGCGGAGACGCAGGAGGAGGAGGAGGAGGAGGAGGAGGAGGATTCGCTGGAGTCGAGTTAGCCAGGTCGGACGAGTCACTGGGCCCCCCCATCCTCTCCTCCATAACATACGAACTTGTGCCGGCGCAATTTGATGTTGGCGTTGAAAGGGGCTTCCGGAAAATCCTCGCGTGGCGCTGGGGCGAGAGCACCAGACAGCCTCCTTTCGGGCTGCCGGACTTCTGATGAGAGCGGCGAGGGCGAAGCAAGAGGCGCACCAGAGCCGCCCTGCCGCATTCACGCCAACAGCTGGCGCGTGGGCCAGAACAGCATTTCGCCCCCTCTTGGGCGGTCCCGCTTCCGCTGTCCTTGCGGCTCGGCGGGCGAAACGTATGCGCCACGTCAAAGCGGGAGGACCATTTTCGGGCGAAGCCTTCGCGGCGCTGAGGTGAGAGCCGCATTTCGCCGCTCACGCGCGACCACATTGCCGGCGAAATGCCGAGCAAGAGGGGTGCGCCGCGCAGAAGCGGGCGCACAGCTCGCAGGAAAGATGAGCTCGGCGCTGGAGCAAGAGCGGGATTTCGCCCGCTCACGCGCGATGTGCGTCACGTCCTATTCCCGACACGCTGCTTGCAACGTCGACGACGAAGCGTCCATGTTGAGTAAGCGCTGCGTTGAAGGATCCCGATCCAGACGCTACGGGGCGGCTAGGTTGCCGAATGGGAGCATATAGAAATAGTGAGAAAGGACGAGGACGGGCAGAAGGAGGAGGAGAAAGACGAGAAGAGGGAGGAGGGGAGGAGGAGGATGAATAGGAGGGGCGGGCAGGGGGAATGGAAAGGGAAGAGGGTGCATGAGAGGGAAATGGGAGAGGATGGAGGAGGACTGGTAGAATGGTGTTGATGACGAGAAGGAGGACCAGCGTAAGCCCAAGGATGTTGCAATCTACCCTCCTGTCCCCTCCTGTCCCCACAAACTTTTCTTTTCGCCGCAAGAAGCGCCTCGTATGAAGATCAGTGACCGATTGGCTTGTTATTCATGCGAGAGCTCCGTTGGGAAAAAAATAATGGCCTTGTATCGAATAGGAAAGACTCCGACAAGGCATGACTATAGATTTCTGGCTTACTTCCTTGCAGTTGCTAGAATGGTTCAATCTTACGGTTCCCAGTTGATGGTGGTGCCAAGCGAGGGCCCCATTTTGAAAAGGACCAGTCCTCCAGACTTGTCGCTGCTAGAAACATTAGCACGAATGGATGCGACACGGAAGCGACAACCGAATAGTGACAATGGGTGCGCCTTCCATCCTTGTAGTTGTTGCCAGCTTTTAGGGCGAATGTGCGTGGCGCAGCCCAGTGTTGAAACGGAAGCGCGCTTCACCTTCTATTCGTTGACAGTTGTTAAGGCGAATGTTTGCGGCGATTCGACGAGAGCCCCCATCTTGAACACGCCATGTGGTTCTTCTTTCTAACGTGTGGCAGGCGTCAAGGCGAAAGTTCGCGATGATGTGGTGAGAGCTCCATTTTGAAAACATCTCCCCTTCACCTTGGTAGCTGTTGTAGGCTTTTACGGCGAATGTGCGAAGGTCTGTGGCGAGAGCACCATTTTGAAAGCGATACGGTCCCCCTTCCGCCCCTGTCGCTGTTACACGCTTTTAGGTCGGATGTGCGCGCTGCTGAGGTGAGAGCCCCATTTATTGAATCACCCCACTCCATGCGCGTAGTTGTTGCAAAATTCAGGTAGTATCGTCATCACCGGCGTTGCGGTCTCAAGCGACACGCCTGGCCCGCTCTACGGACAAGTCTGGGGGTACGACAGGCAGACACACGGATGCATGTGTATATGGATATTTGTGTACGGTATGTATACATATACATGTGTATGTCTGTGCGGAACACGTGTATCTAACGTACATGCGTACATATACGTATATTCATAGACATGAACATACACCGGTTATGTATAGTCGTGTTTGCATGTGTGGGAGTTTGAGGAAGAGGAGGGAGAGACGAAATTTTGCAGGTCAGTACCCAGGTGCCCCGAGGAAGCCCTGATTGACTTGAAGAAGTGTTGGGGGATTTGGGTGTTTCCACTGTGTTCTAGGAAGATGGGTCGGGGAGGAGGAGGTTAGAGGAGGGGGATGAGAAGTACGTGTCTCGCGGCATCTGGAAGCTTTCTGCGACTTCAGGATGCTGTCGGCGGATCGCTTTCGGAGGTTTCCAGAATGGGAGTGGGGGAGGAGGAAGCAGTTGGACGAGGTCAGGGAGTAAGATGAACAGGGAGGAAGAGAGGGTGGTGAGGAGGAGTAGGGAGGAGGAGGAGACAGGAGGAGGAAGGAGGAGGAGGAAGAGGTGGAGGAGGAGAAGGAGGAGCACTTGTTTAGTCTTTCTAGGGTGTTCTGAAAACATCTGGAGGGTTCAGTGCCATGAGGAAGAAGAGGAGGTGCAGCAAGGGAGGATGGGGAGGGAAAGGAGGAGGACGAGGGGTAGGAACAGACTATGGATAACCACCGAGTAGAGAAATTCCTGCTCGTCGACTTCCTTCCCTCCTTTCTTCTTCTCTTTCATTCCTTCTCACCCCCACATTGATCGAAGGTAAAGGAATGAGCAGAGGAGGATCGTGAGGACGAGGAAGAGAAGGCAGGGGGAAGGAGGACGGTCGAGGAGGAGGAGAAGGAGGAGGACGATTATCCACATAATGCTCTCTCTCTCTCTCTCTCTCTTCCTTTCTCCTTTTTCATTCCCTTTCTGGTCATTGCCCGCATCGTGGACGGCTCGCGCTTCCACGAGTTCAAGGCAAGGTACGGGCCCACGATGGTGTGCGGGTGGGCCCACATCGAGGGCTACCCCGTCGGCATCCTGGGCAACAACGGCATGCTCTTCAGCGAGTCGGCCATCAAGGCCTCGCACTTCGTCCAGGTGTGCGGGCAGCGAGGCACGCCGCTGGTCTTCCTGCACAACAGCTCGAAGAGGAAATAGTTGCACAAACATCGACTTTTCAATGTCTGCGCGGATGTCTTGGATCTGAGATTGACTCCCTTGGCAACGCCTCTGGCGACGTCCCTGGCGCTCTCCGCGCGCCAGGTCACTGGGTTCAGCGCCGATCCAGGATGTCCGCGCGGACCTCCGAGAGTCTATGTGGATGCCGCTCTTTCTCCTTCGAACATCACCGGCTTCATCATCGGTACCGCGTTCGAGCAGGGCGGGATCACGAAGGACGGCGCCAAGATGATCAACGCCATCCAGAAAGACAGTTATCGGGTTCGGAGGATGGGTTTGGGAAGATACGGGGCACGACCTGTGTAATGAGCACACTCGACATGCGCGATAACACGGATGATCTGATCATCTCTCCCAGCCCCATCCTCCCAACCCGATGCTCGTCTTTCTGAGCCGTCAGCAACGTTCCCGTGCCCAAGTTCTCCATCGTCTGCGGGGGCAGTTTCGGCGCCGGCAACTACGCCATGTGCGGGCCAGCCTTCGGCCCCCGCTTCACGTTCCTGTGGCCGAACTCAAAGATATCCGTCATGGGCGGAGAGCAGGCCGCAGGCGCCTCGGGGACAGCTGGGATATCCTCCTCCTCCTCCTCCTTCTCCTCATCCTCCGCCTCCTCCTCCTCATCCCACTCCCTGCCTCCCTCCCTCCTCTCCTCCCTCCTCCTCCTCCTCCTCCTCCTCCTTCTCCTCCTCATCCTTCCCTCTTCCTCCCTCCCTCGTCTCCTCCCTCCTCCTCCTCCTCCTCCTCCTCCTCCTCATCTTTCTCCTCCCTCCTCCCTCCCTCCCTCGATTCCCGCTTCACGCTCATCTGGCCCAGGGCCGCCCCCCCGCGACGGGGATTTCGGGAGAGGATGGGGTGCAGGACGCAAGGTGCCGGGGCCAGCATCAGCCAGAAAGCTGGCGGGAACCAGATGGGGGCAGCGAGAGTTGGAGGAGCAGGGGGATTAAGAGGAGGAGGAGGAGGAGGACGAGGAAATCAGAGGAGGAGGAGGAGGAGGAGAAGGAGGAGAAGATGGAGGAGGAGGAGGACAAGGAGAAGGATGAGGAGGAGGAGGAGGAGGAGGAGGAGGAGGAGGAGGAAGGAGGAGGAGGAGGAGGAGAGGGGGGGAGGAGGGGGGGAGGAGAAAGGGAGCGGGAATCGCTCTCGTAGAGGGGGGGCGCCAGGAGCTGGAGGAGAAGGGGGATCGCATGGTGATCGACGGATGCCAGTTACCTGGCGCTCTTTCCCGTCTTGGGGGTGCCCTTGGGGAGCCTCGGGAGGCCTGCTGGGGGGCCAGGAGTCGTCTTGTGCCCTCCGGGGACCTCCAGAGGCCTCCAGGGGCGAGCAGGAGGAGGATGTCTCCTCCTCCAAGTTTTCTTCCTTCACCTCCTCCTCCTCCTCTTTCTCCTTCTTCTCCTCCTTTTGCTCCTCCCCCTCCTCCTCCCTCCTCCTCCTCCTCCTCTCCTCCTCCTCCTCCTCCTCTCCTCCCTCCTCTCCTCCTCCTCCTCCTCCTCCTCCTCCTCCTCCTCCTCTTCCTCCTCTTCCTCCTCCTCCTCCTCTTCCTCCTCCTCCTCCTCCCTCTCTCCTCCTCCTGCTCCTCATCTCCTCCCTTACGCCATTCGTATCCTCTCCCCTCCTTTTCCTTCCCCCAATCCGTTCCCCTCGTTTTCCTCTCGCTTCCTCCTGCTCATTGTCGTTGCCCTGGCTCCTCCTGGGTGAGTCCGCGAGAAACATTAATTTGGTAAGGAGTTCATGGAGGTTCTCGGGGGGATGAGGGGTTCTACTGGGTAGCAGAGGTTCTGCAGTGGGTCTGAGATGCTCCGCGAGCAGGGGGAGGTGGAGGAGGAGGAAGGGTTGTCTTAGAGGATGGAGAGTAGCAGGAGCAGGATCAGGAGGAGGAGGACGACGACGACGAGAAGGAGGAGGTTGCGGAGGGAGATGGGGTGGTGGGTAGGAGGGGCCGAATCTCTAGACTGCCAGCTTGGCCTTAGCTTCCCGGAGGTGTCCTGGCCATCATCAAGGGTAACAGCCTCAAGAGGGCCGGCCAGCCCCTTCCGCCGCCAGAGGTGATAGAGCAGCTGAAGTCAATCCTCCTCATCATCCTCATCAGCATCATCATCATCAGCACCAGCATCATCATCACCATACTCACCAGCGTAACCAACATCGTCATCAATATCATCATCAGTATTATCATCACCATCATCACCATCATCATCACCATCATCATCAGCAGCACTACCATCATCATCAACATTACCAGCATCATCATTGCAATCAGCATCAGCAACACCATCTTCATCACTGTCAGCATCACCAAATTATTTTGCTCATCTCCACCACCAACATCATCATCATCAGCAGCATCAGCATCATCGACACCCCCACCATCATCTTCAACATCATCACCGACATCCTTTCACTCAGCATCATCATCATCTGCATCATTATCAGCCTCATCACCATCATCGTCGTCATCATCATCACCGTCATCATCATCATCATCAGCAGCAACAGCATCACCATCATCATCACCGTCATCACCATCCCGCCGCCGGAGGTGATGGCGCAGCTGAAGCAGCCCATCATCGACGGCATCGAGAAAAAGAACTCGGGATGGCACTCGACCGCAGGGGCCTACGATGATGGGATGATCGACCCGCGCGACACCCGGAAAGTCCTGGCACCCGAGACGAACAATAGACGGCACAGGCAGAGTTTGTCGGAGGCCAGTGCGGATCTCTTGGCTTGGCCCTGAACCCCCATGCCGGCGCCGCCCTGGTGCGGATCTTGCGACAGGAAGGGGGGCTCCAGCGCCGACGCGAGGATTCGGCGCAGGCCTCCGAATGTTCCTGTTTGTGCCGTCCTTTTGCTCTTCCAGGCGCAGTGCATTTCCATCTCGATGAACGCGCCGCTCCCAGAGATGAACTACGGCGTCTTCCGGATGTGACGCCTCGGCCAATCACTTCGTGACCGTGGTGGGTTCGACAGCCAGGGGATGCCCGCCATCTTGACATCCTCGTCGCTTTTCCTGTGTTTCCCCGCTGCGACGGAATTATTTCAAATATTTGAAGCTGTGTGTCCCGACAGCCGCGCACGATTTTGCAGCTGCTCGCGTCTCGTTGTTGGCAGCTTCACGTGGGCCATATGCGCTGTTCGAGAGTCTGGCCATCTTTACGCGGGCCTCCGTTTCGTCATCATATCATCATCGCCACCCGATGCTGCATTTGCTCAAGTCTCTCTCGTCGTGGGCAGATTGGCATGGGCCGTCTGCCGTTTCAGAGTCCGGGCAGCCTTGCGCGGGCGTCCGTCTGGTTACTATGCAGTTTACATGCTGGTGGACGAACGGGCCGCCAGCGTCTACAGACATCGGTGCCCGCTTTATGTGACCGCCTCTGATGTAAAAAGCGTCGTCGTCGTCACGGCGATCAGCCCCGAGGGAAGAATGTGGACGAGGGGGCACAGGGTGGGCCCGAGGTCTGCGACTGCAGCGGCTTGCAGCGCCGGCGGGACGATGCCGGTGGCGAGGGCGGCGAGCCACGGCCCAGACGGAATCTGCGGGGCGCCGCACCCCCGCGGCCGAGCGGTACGATCCGAACTGGTATGGCAAGAACGGGTACGAAGACCGACTGCATTTCCCCTTGTCGGTATCGTTCATCCGATCCCCATCCCCATCTCCATCCCCTTCGAGACCCCCACCAAATTACCACCCCAGTTGGGGATACACCCCTCGAAACCCAAGAAGAATGACCTATATCCCCACTTAGGGGGTAAATCGGCCAGCGGGGCCCAGGCCACGCCGCTGGGGATGGGGATCGGTTGCACGATACTCAGCTTCCTTTTGGGCAGGGATCGCGTTCGATGTGGCCGCAAATGTAGCCCATCTGCGGCTGAAAGAGGAAGACCGTGGAAGATTCGCAACAGTTCCCCCTCCCAGCCGCGGCCGAACCCGTGGTCGCGACCGCAGCCGCAGCAGCCGAAGCGGCTGACACAGGAAAAGCACCCCGAAAAATCCGCCATAGTTCCCCCCTCCCAGCCGCGGCTGCAGCTGCGGCCGCGACCGCAGCGAACCGCGGTCGCCGTCGGATGCGGACAACACGTCCTGCTGGGCACTGTGCCCACCTCTGCCATGCCCACGTGGGGCACTTCAGGCCGGGGCCCGTTCCCGTGGCGCGCGAAGCTGCGACCGTGGGCCACCGACGGCACCCACGAAGCAGAAGAGTTGGCGGCGCCCACGCGCCGTCGCAGGCCCCGCGCCTGAGGCCCGGCCATTTTTTTTGGGGGGGGGGATCGGGGCTTTGGTTGTGAGTCCAGGGAGCAAGGGCGCCTTCGGGGGCGCCGAGTTGTTCGCGTTTCGCGGTTCGGCTCCTCATCCTCCTCTCTTCCTCTTCCCCCTTGGGGGGCGACGCGAGAGCGCGAAGTTATTCGCGCTTCGCGTTTCGCGCAGCGCGAAGCGCGAAGTTTGGCGCCCTTGCATAAGGAGGGCGGAGGAGGAGGAGGAGGAGGAGGAGGAGGAGGAGGAGGAGGAGGAGGAGGAGGAGGAGAAGGAGGAGGACGACGGGGGAGAGAGGGAACTCCGTAGCCATTTTGGCTCAAGTCCGTAGCGTTTCGCTCAGTACTTGGCAAGTGGCCTGGGGGGGATTGCGGCCCCCACTGCTTTCCCAGGCGTTCGCCCGCCTGGCACGTTTTCAGCTACGTTCTGGCTACAGAACTACCACTTTCACAGCTGCACTTCTCGGCTCTCGCGATGGTGCCAGCCCATTTCTCATATGCTCCTTGGGTCAAGTCGCAGGTTGAGGATGAGGGATGGTCCACAGCGAAAGGGCGCCGCCTTGGTCAGGCTCAAGTCTCGGGCTTTGCCTGCCCGTCCTGCGGCTGCAAGAAGAGCAGCGCCAACGCCACGCATTGCAAGCACTGCGCTCATCCTCTCCCTCAGCTTTCTCATGCTGCTGGGCCTCCTGCATGTGGTCGCTGGGCCTCGGCTGGTCCCCCAGGTTACTGGTACGGGAATGGCCACAGCTTCAAGGGCCACGTCTTCCAGGCCTTTGGAGGCAAAGGAGGTGCTCGAGGGGCCACTGGCAAAGGCAAAGGGAAAGGCTACTATGGTGGCGACCCGTCTATGTGGGATGCGTTGGCCCGTCAAGACGATTCACGCGCTGATGGCGCTGGAGGAGGCACCCCGCTACTTCCTGTGGGACCAGTACCTTCCATCACCGCGTCTGAAGCCAAGGCCCTGGGTGAGTCGCTCCAGAAGGCGGGGGATGTCGGAGCGGCCACCAAGTACTTGGACATGGCGAAACATCTTGAGGCAGCTGTCAAGCCTGTGGTTATCTCGGACCACGTTCGGATGCAGCAGGCTCATTCCACTGCGCGCAAGCTGGAGAAGCAGATGGAGCAGCAGCTGGGCCGAGTCACTCGTCTTCGGGAACAACTTATGGAAGCGGAAGTCTCTTTGCGATCACTTCGCGACCAGGTTGGCCAAGCGGACTTGGATTACAAGCAGTCTCTGGCGGCCTTGCAAGGGCCTTCGCAGCAGTCCGAGGTGCGGACTCAGCCGATGTCCTTCAAGCTCAAGGATCTGGTGGCGGGCACGGTGGACTTCTCCAAGCTCATCGACTGCAGCCACATGATGGGGGATCTCACTACGGACAACGACGTGGATGCGTCGGACCTGGAGCAGTTCCAGAAGAGGAAGGATGACTTGTCTTCAGGGGTCACCAAGCTGGCCAGAGACCTCTTCGCCCAGGTCGCGTCGCATGCCAAGGCACTTCGCGAACAACACGAAGCTCATCGGCTACGAATGGTGGCGAAGAAGCGGAAGACTGCCGAAGGTGAAGTTGTCGGAGGTCCTCCTGCGGACGCGGCTGCTGCGGCTGGAGGTGGATCAGGGGCGCCCCGCTCACCTGTGTTGAAATTCGGGTGCCCCCCAGATTTCCCAGGAGCCTCTCGTATCTCCTCTCTGCCTCTGCCTGGTGCGGTCGGGGAGCAGTACTGCGTGAAGGCTGGTGGAGCTCAGCTTGAAGATTCCCCAGTCGCACGATTGCCGCAATCTGATGCCCTTTTTTCCTGGTGCTAGCTCCGCCAGGGCCTGGTCCTGTATGAGTTCTGCTGCTGTCGGCGACGGTCTTCCAGCGACCTCAGCCCCCGCGCCAGCTGCCCAGGGTGCTGCCGACGGCTGCATCGGGCTTGACGAGGGTCTTCTGGTGACCACGGTGAACGCCAACTCTTGGGGCACTCTCAAGAATTTTCTTTATTCGGCAAGTTCTCATGTGGTTATTGCTCAGGAACGTCGGCTTAAAGCTCCTGGTGCTCTGGACCAAGCCTCGAAGTCGTCTAAGTTCCTGGGATGGAAAACGCTGTGGGCTCCTGGCCTGCCTGGAGAGGGAGGCGGAGTTTCTTCGGGAGTCTGTGTTTGCGTTCGAGATGGCCTTGGGCTTTTTGAAGCAGCTGGGCATTCTGTTCTCGTTCCTGGCCGAGCTGTTGCCACCATGGTACACGTTCCAGGGTGCGCTCCATTTTGTGTTAGCAGCCTCTACCTCGTCCACAGTGAAGGTCTCTCGGAGTCGAATCGAGAAACTTTAAGGGTGGTGGGGGAGCTTTTAGATTCTATGTGGTGTGCGTTCACTGTTGGAGCGGACTGGAACATGGGTCCCGAGGTTCTTGGAGCTTCTGATTTTGGTAAAAGGCTTCGGGCTTGTACTATTGCGCCTGAAGGTCACACCCACTTCCCCAGCAAGGGCCAACCTGATCGTTTTGTTTTTTGTCGTGTCTGAGGCGCTCAGCCTCTGCCTTAAGAGTGTTTTTGTTGAGGGAGACTCCAGTATCTCTCCACATCGCCCTGTGTCTCTTCGTTTTCACAGCTCCCTGGGCGATCTTAAGGCTCTTGCCTTCCGCCAACCCCCTTCGCTGCCTGTGCTTCCTCCTGTTGGCCCCGCGCCCAAGTCGGGCGACTGGAGCGCTGCGCTGGACCTGGCCGAAGAAGCCTTTGGTGCGGTGGAGGCCGGGGGTGGGGGAAAAGCGCGCAGGCCGTTGGTCATTGGATACAAGTTCTGGGCCGATGCTGCCGAGAAAGATCTCGTCAACTCCCTGGGGGCCGAGCTTAAGGTTTTCGGGGCTCGGGGGAAGCGACCTCAGGTTTACTGGAAATCTGTTCTCCGCCCTGCGGGGCGCGAAAAAGATCCTGGGTTACGGTTTATTTCTTGGCTGTGTAACTAGTTGCGCGCAGTTAGGTGCTATCTCTCGGAATCGGTCTTGCAGGAGGCTGGACGACAGGTGCTCAACTCGATCCTCCAGCCTCCGTTGGCCGTGGCGGTGCAGGAGAGCTCTGAGTTCTTCTCTCTCTTCAAGGCCAGTGCTGCCTTAGCTAGATGCGCCTTATCTCCAGTTCTGGATCCCGAGCTCGGCTCTGATTTGGGCGACCTGATCGATCAGGTTGCTCTCGCTGTCTCCACTGCTAAGGCCACCTCTGCGACTGCGTCGCGGAAAGAGTGGCACGAGTGGGTGCGGACGGGCATTGATGCTGGCGGTCGCAACGCTCAGAAGGCCATCAAAGACCCTGAACACTGGAAGCCCACTACCACCTTAGCCAGATGTGGAACTGTTGTTTGCGACCCAGTGTCTTTGCTGCAGGCCGAGGGCGATAAGTTTGCCGCCATCTGGGGCTCTGGCAAGGGCGAAGGTGTGGGCCATGACCTTGTGCCCCATGGCCGTGTTTTAGAGCCTGCCGAGCTTCGCGTGATTTCCAAGAAGTATCGGACATCCTCTGCTGTGAGTGTGGACGGTTTCCACTGTCGTCATTTTAGCCTTCTCCCCAATGAGGCTTTGCGTGCCCTGGCCCTTTGGTTTGCCGTTTGGGAAGCCACTGGCGATCTGCCCAGGCAGCTCTCTTGGGTGCTCATGGCCTTGCTGGCCAAGCCGACAGGTGGGTTTAGGCCCATAGGGGTCTTCCCGAGCCTGTACCGCCTTTGGGGTCGCGCCCGTCGTCATGAGGCTCTGCAGTGGGAGCTCACCCATCCCAGAAGGTACTGGGCTGCGGGGGCCAACAGGGGAGCGGGTGACGCGGTTTGGAGGCAGGCCTTCAGGGCCGAAGCGGGCACGCGCAAGAAAGAGGTTTCGGCTTCCATCTTCTGGGACCTCAGGAAGTATTATGAGCACATCGACTTGAAGTATCTCTGGCAGCAGTGCGTGCAGCATTCTTCTCCATTGCCGCTGGCGAGACTGGCCATCAGAGCGTATTCGTGCGCTCGCTTCCTGGCCCTGGGTGGCATCATTCAGGGGCCGTTTTTCGTCTCCAAGGGTTTGGTGGCTGGTTGCTCTTTTGCGACCAGCCTCGTCCGCGTTTTTGCCATGCAGGCCTTTGATGAGGCCCTTGTGGCGATTCCCGGGGGCCCTGGAGGAACGA